CCATGCCTCAAAGAGGAAGTTGCTCCGTGAGATTTGCCCTTTCCCATCTCCACATCAAACCAGACTTTACCAATCTGCGGGCCAACTGTCACTACCTAGAACAGGTGACCAGAAAAGGGGACATCTGACCACTCCCTCACCAAAGTGAGGGAGTCCACAAAGTGCTTTACCTAAAAGGGGAAGACGTGAGAGTTTTGGAGCTTTAAAGTCACCGCTTAAAAAACTGACAGTGGGGCCAGCAGGTAGCATAGTGGTTAAGGGCGCTGAACTCCCACACCTCTGGTTCAAGTCCTGGACCTAGCAACTTGCTTTCTCACTTTGTCTCATTCCATCTCTCTCTGATAAAATATAAATAAATAAATAAAGTTAAATAAAATAATTCTTAACAAAACAAAAAGTGACATAGTTGGGGTCATCAGGTGGCAGGGTGGTTAAGGTGCTGGATCCCACATGGCTGACTCTCCAGCTTGAACCAAGTGCAAGTACAAGCGTGCTCAAAACCCCTGCAGGAGAACAGAAGGAAGGAACTGCTGCTGCGGAGTGGCCATGCCTCCCTGTGGGGGGTTTCTCACTTCCCTTCTCTGTCTCTCTCCTGCAGGCGCATGTGGCAAAAATCTTTAAAAAAAAAAAAAAACCAACAGTGTTTCTTCTGGGAAAGTGATAAGAGAAAAGAAATGGGGAGACTGCAGGGGAGAACTCAAACTTGCTCCTGTCTGTACTCCCCCACCCCAACCAGGTAAAACAGAAAGCAGACCAATCACTAATTAATAAAACTAAAAGAAACCCAGAGTGGGGGGTCTCATAACCAGATGGTCCTAGTATCACGCACACATGTGGGGACCAAGGCTCAGCTTGGCCTGGGTTCGAATTCTGTCTGGCATGAAGGGCTCTGGGATGCATTTCCTCATTCGTCAAAGTCACCAGTCACTGCCTACTTTCCCAACTGGGTCTTGTGAGGATCCCACAGACACAAGTATGGAGGTTGCACCCAAGTTATCTCATCATGAACCCCAAAGACCATCTCAGTGATGGGAACTGACACCCAGTCAAGGATGAGGAAGCAAGCCAAAAACAGTCTCTAAGAAAATGAAACAGAAGCCCTAGAGTCTTACGTAAACTACCTTTTGACTTAGGAGATTCACGCAATGCCTTCAACTCAGTTCCAACCTACTCTTAGTTTCTTCACGCGATCCACAAGTTAACAGATGCTAAAGGAATGATGCTTGCTAGAAGCAAACACACTGACAACAGCGGAAAATGACAGAAGAGAGAAAAACTGAAGTGCGGGGAAGGGGCGGGATCAGGCCAGTATGTGTCAGGGCAGACAGCCCTATACCACCTCTTCTGTAAAACTACGACACAGTAAGAAAACAGATTCTAAGATTGTTTTTGTACAATCAAGAAAAATTATGCCTTATCTATTAATATCCAATAAAGATACAGCAAAATGTTCTCTCAGGAAACAGATCCATCAAAGGATGATTCTTTTTTTTAAAAGAATTATTTTATTTTAACTTTATTTATTATTATCATTATTATTTTTCAGTTTGATCAGAGAAAGACAGAGAGAGAGAGAGAGAGGAAGTGAGAAAGCAAGCCACCAGGTTCGAGACTTGAACCATGGTCGGCCATGTGGGAGTCCAGTGCCTTTAACCACCATGCCACTTGCCGGCCCCAAGGATGATTCTTTTTAAGTATGTATACTTAAAAGGGTTCGGCCAAGGGCCAGCAGGTGGCATGGTGGTTAAGGCACTGGACTCCCACACAGTCCTAGAACTAGTGGCTTAAAAATCACACCAGGTGCGTGTGCGTGTGTGCCCAAAATATCAGGAAGAGAATGAAACAGAAGGGACTGCAGCCTCACCATTCCCCCCCCAGGGGGGGGGATGTGATTTCTCACTTTTCTCTCTCTCTCTCTCTCTCATGTGCTCTCTAGCAGGTACATGCACCCTATGTCAGAAACATTAAAAAAGAAAGAAAGAAAGAAAGAAAGAAAAGAAGAAGAGGGGGGCCGGCAGGTGGAAGGGTGGCTAAGAGTGCTGGACTCCCACATGGCCAACCGTGGTTCGAGTCCCGGATCCAGTGGCTTGCTTTCTCACTTTCCCTCTCTCTCTTTCTCACTCTGTCCCTCTCTGGTCAAATTAAAATAAATAAGTAAATAAATAAATAAATAAATAAATAAAATTTTAAAAATTCTTTAAAAAAAAGAAAGAAAAGAAGAGTTCCATCAATATACAGCCAAGCCACGGTGGCACACAGCACTGCTTCTTGGGAGGTTGAAAGCCACACAGGAGGCACACGCTGGCCTTCTGGGTCAACCTGAACATGGTGGGCATAGCTGTGCACACCTGTAATCCTAGCAATTGGTAGAGCGAGATCTTGTCAAACATACTTACCTCTGCATCTCTCTTTCTCATAAAGGAAATAATATAATAATGATAAAGAACTCGATCAGAAGGAAATAATATAATAATGATAAAGAATTCAATCATTATGGAAAACGTATTTCTTGGAAGTCTCTCATTTCTCCACACTGGGTGAATGCCCTTGTTCTCTTTTCACTAATGCCAAAATGCTATTCTTTTATTAAAACAGAATCATGTCCCTTCGACATCTCTCTCTTCCTTTACTAACAAGGTGATCTGAGGTAACACAAGAAAAGCTACCAGGAAAAATCAATAGTACAGTCCCAAACTAACCTCATCGGCTTTCCCTCCAACTGGTCTCATGCCACAGGTCAACCAACAGGACACTGGCCAACAGAAACCAGATAGTTTCAAACAAACTGGAAGAATAGATGGTCTAGTTTTTGGAAGCTAAAGGGAGCAAACTCTAAATAAGTATGCCAGAACTTACACCGCTCAATGGATTTGCCTTTTAAAACTGTTCCCTCAGTGGACAAAATTCTGACTCCAAAACTTTTGTTGAATAGCCTTCAAAGACCATCTCTGAAAAAGTGATTCTCAACTGGGTGTTGAGTGAAAAGCCTTTAGGAAATTTTACCCAAGCTCATTCAGGTTCCACCCTGGGTCTCCTGAATTAAAACCTCAGAGGGTTGAGCCAGCAGGTGGAGTAGTGGTTATGTGCTGGATCTCACATAGTGATTCCATGGTTTGAGTCCGGGACCTGGCAGATTGAAAAATATGCCTGATGCGTGTATGTGCGTGCCCAAAATCCTGAGAGGAGTATGGAGGAAAAGGGATTGTGGTGTGCCCATTTCCCCCTTGGGGGCTGATTTCTCACTGTCCTTACCTTTCTGTATGTCTCTGTCTCCTCTCTCCAGCAAGGGCACATGCTCTAAGGTAAAAACACCTACACACTACACACACACACACAACACGCCTACACACTGTACACACACTCCCTATGAGACTCATGGAGAATTGCTGCTCTCTATCTATCTAGAGATCACTCCATCCTGACCTCAGATGACCTACATCACAACGCAAAGCAAAATTTCTCTCCATGGCCTGCTCACCTTTTCAGACCACCCCAACAACTTGCATTATTTTCAGACTCAAAGCCGTACATTAACAATAGATGTAAGATCAGAGGCGACTTTGGACAGAGCCCCTCCTAGATACAGTCCCCAGCATGTGACACAGTAGGCACTCCACCAACATTTCTGGAATTGAGCAATATCCATTTAAACATACCATGTGACATCACATATAGTGGCCCTTTAGAGATTTCTGGCTTTTGACCCCACCTTCAATGCCTCTTCCTACAAAAGCAATGAAGATCTAAAAAAAACCCTTTTTTTTTTTGGAGAGGTTTTTGCTATAGGGCACCCGCACTCTCCAGAAAGACAGAGACAGACAGAAAGTGAGAAATCACCCCCCAGGGAGGATGGCCATGACACAATCTCTTCTCCTCCATTCTCCTCTCCGGATCTTGAGCATGCACACACACGCGTCCCCTGTGAGTTTAAGCCACTGGGTCTGGGACTCAAAATGCGGTCGACTACATGGGAGTCCAGCGAGACTCATGGAGAATTGCTGCTCTCTATCTATCTAGAGATCACTCCATCCTGACCTCAGATGACCTACATCACAACGCAAAGCAAAATTTCTCTCCATGGCCTGCTCACCTTTTCAGACCACCCCAACAACTTGCATTATTTTCAGACTCAAAGCCGTACATTAACAATAGATGTAAGATCAGAGGCGACTTTGGACAGAGCCCCTCCTAGATACAGTCCCCAGCATGTGACACAGTAGGCACTCCACCAACATTTCTGGAATTGAGCAATATCCATTTAAACATACCATGTGACATCACATATAGTGGCCCTTTAGAGATTTCTGGCTTTTGACCCCACCTTCAATGCCTCTTCCTACAAAAGCAATGAAGATCTAAAAAAAACCCTTTTTTTTTTTGGAGAGGTTTTTGCTATAGGGCACCCGCACTCTCCAGAAAGACAGAGACAGACAGAAAGTGAGAAATCACCCCCCAGGGAGGATGGCCATGACACAATCTCTTCTCCTCCATTCTCCTCTCCGGATCTTGAGCATGCACACACACGCGTCCCCTGTGAGTTTAAGCCACTGGGTCTGGGACTCAAAATGCGGTCGACTACATGGGAGTCCAGCGACATAGCCATTAGGCCAACTGCTGGTCCTAACTTACCTGTGTTTTAATAGCAGTCTAATAATTGTCCCCAAAGGACAGCCAAAAGAAAAGTTACTCCTTGTAACTCAAGGTATCTATAGCCATCCCAACCTTCCACTGTACCGTGGGTTTTTTTATTAACGCTTTATCCCAACCTTCTCTTCTAAACTCCAAGCTTAACAATGCCCAGTCTACCATGTCACCCTCCCTGACCAACACCATCCCACTGTCATAGTCCATACCCACTAAACAACCTCCACCTCCAATACACAGGTGGGACTGGCAAAACTAGTGAGAATGACTGACCAAGTGGCTGACACCTCTGCCCAACTCTGGTGGTTCATACTCTCTGGCATGAAACTACATGGAGGCAAAAGCAGAATACTTACACGCTACTGTCCGTCATGGACATGGAATCGTCGGTCAGTGCGTCACTGGATATCTCACTGTCATTGGCACTGGTGGCTGGTGCAAAGACGTAGCCAGAACCTACGTGATACGGATTAACAGGATCGCTCCTCTTGAAAGACCTATGGGGAAAATACAAGAACAGTGCAGTCACTGACCCTCAGTGGAGGCCAGGCAGGTAATCAGGTGAGCCCCACACAGAAGGGAGCACGATCCTGCAAGGTGGATCTACAATCCAGAGCAATGCTGACCTGCTGCCCAGGTGCCCCCCTGGGCGGAAACCAAGGGCCACTAAAGAGAGATCGGTTGAGCCACTGACTCACCCTGGGCTGAAAACAGGCTGGGTTTCTCAGCACCCACCCCCCAAGAGGTGCTTCCAGGGCATCCTAGATAGCTCTAAATGCTGGCAGAGAGGAAGAATGGGGCTCTGCTCTAGGAGGGAAGCTCTAGAATGAACAGGGAGAACAACCCAGTGGTGACACAGTGTATTTCTCCTCCCTAACTACATCCAAACCTGTGCCAAAAGAACACTGTTTGGGGCCCCCCACCATCTCAAGCATCCGAATTCCCTTTCTGGGGTCTGTTAGCCTCACCCAGAGAGGTAAACAACCAGAGACCTGGTGTGGCCTCCTCACTCTGTCTGTGGGCCCTCAGTGAGTCATGTCCCTTCCCCCAGCCGTGGCTTCCTTCCTCAGGGCTGGCTTTAGCCAGGATTGCAAGGGGCAGCACAGCTGTTTCCAAAGAAGACCTTAGCCTCTCCTCTGGGTCTCTCCCTTTTGTTTTAGTGGTTTTGGGTCCCCATTTCACTTTCTTACTCTCCTCCTGGAACAACCAGTGTGCACATCCACTGCTGGACACATTGCTCTTGTGTCAATAGCAAGGAACTTAAACAGGGGAAGAGGAGGGAGGTAGACACTTTCTGCAACCCTGTGGAGCCTGGAGTGCAGGGGGCCTCATTTACAAAGATCCTGGCCTACTCCCTTGGTCCACCAAGTCTAAGCCAACAGCAAAGAGCAACTGGAGAAGGAAAAGGCTCAGAGAGGTCATAGCAGTAGGTCTCCAGATAGCCTGGCGGCTGGCAAATGAAAGAGACCACGGAAGGTCGCAATCAGGCACCCGCACAGGTTCACCAAGCTCCTCCTCACCCTTTGTGTGTCCAGCACTGTGCCGAACTTGGGGTGTACACAACCCTCTGGTCTCCTGGCCCCCATGGCCAGGTACAGATAGGTCACTATAATGTAACCTAAACATGTGACATGATAAGATGACAGAGCGTCATCATAGGCCTACAAAGAGGGCACTCCTTATGAAGGATATTTCATTCAATCCTCACTGCCCTCTGGGGGAGGCACCCTGTACATACCCAGTTTACAGATGAAGTCCAGCAACTTGTGCAGGATCACACAGCTGGAAGCGGTGGGCATGGCACTGACTCAACTGGCTGTCATTTGAGCTCTCTTTCTGCCTCCTATACAAAGACAGCCTCGACACTTGTAAAAGTCCTTCCAGAGTACGAGGCAGGACCTGAGTGACCCAGTATAGGTAATCCAGATGATGGAAAGTACTGTTCTAACAGAGATGGTGGGGGACAGCCCCCCTGGGACAGACGGGTGCAAGGTGCACTGAGATGGATGAGCAGGAGTCTGAAGAGATGACATCCAGGTCAGGGGAAAGGGAAAGGCAATGAAAAGTTTTCCATAGGTGGGGCTAGGGGGATAGGGGAATCTGACTAGTCGGAAAACTAGGAGGTAGGTCTTCAGTGAGGCCCAAGTATTGTCTTCATGAAGCAGAGAGAGGCTGGGGGCAACAGAGGTAAGGGAAGGTGGGACTAAGTGCCCAGAGAAAGTGCTCCCAGGTGCATATGGAGCACAATGGAATGAGGGTGCATGGAGGCGGGATCCTAGTGGGAAGTGGTTGCCACAATTTGGTGTGAGGGCCTCAACAGGGATCTGTGGGGATGGGAAAGGTGGTGGAGAGCCATCCTCAGGGAGCTCACATGCTAGTTGGGGTCACAAAACAATCACAAAAAGTCACAATCATATAGTTTTGGGGCCAGAATGAACCTTAAAAATTATCTAACCTGGGACCAGCAGATGGTGTAATGGTTATGTTTGCTGGATTCCCAAGTAATCGATTGTGGTTCAAGTCCCTGACCCAGCAGCTTAAAACTCATGCTAGGGGGACCAGCAGTTAATATAATGGCTATGTCGCTGGACTCCCATGTAGTCGACCACGGTTCTCCCGGACCTGGTGGCTTAAACTCATGCCGGGCACGTGTGTGTGCGTGCCCAAGATCCCAAGAGGAGAATGGAGGAGAAGGGATTGCAGCGTGGCCATCCCCCCTGGGGGGTGATTTCTCGCTTTCTATCTCTCTGTCTCTCTGTCTGTCTGGCGGGCGCACGCACCCTATAGCAAAAACCTCTCCAAAAAAAAAACTCATGCTAGGTGTGTATGTGTGCCCAAAAATCCCAAGAGGAGAGTAGAGGAGAAGGGACTGCACCATGGCTATGTCCCCTGGGAGAGGGGGGTGATTTCTCTCTTTCTTTCTCTGTCTCTGTCTCTTTAGCAAGCACACTGACCCTACAGCAAAAAATCTCTAAAAATTTTTAAAAATTAAAAAACCTAACCCAATCCCCTCAGTTTAGAAATGTTAGAGCTACCATTGGCTGAACACTTAGTTTGTGCTCAGCACCTCACCTTGCTCCACGGAGAAAAGGCTTTGGTTTCTTCACTACTGCACCCCCCAGCACCAAGAACAGAGCTAGTACCCAACAGGTGCTCAATGAACACCTGATAACCTGTCACATCCTCAAATCCTCACAACCACCCAAGGAGGTGTCCAAGTCCCAAGCAAACAAGTACCTTGTAAGAGGCTACCCATAAGAGAGAGAACAGCTGGACTTAAGCCTGTTCCACTGCACTAGGCTGAGCATACAGTCAGATCTTGGAAATTTTATGTATGCACAGAATTGACCAGAAGGTACAAGAGAAGTGTTCATGAATCCATTGAATACTTCAGGCCAAGTATCTCTGAACTGCCACTAGGACCTTATTCTGGTTCTGTTCTGTAGCAGGCAGAAGTCTTGCCACCTCACCATCTTTGTAAAGATTAAATAAAAATTATAAGTTCTTCTATGCCTTATTCCTGGTCCCTGTGTCCCGTGTACCTCCACCTGAGATTCCTGACACCAAAGATAGAAAGGAGCTGGTAAGAGCAAAAGGAAGGCAGTTGTTTTTTCTGAAGAAAACTGAAGAATGATTTAACCAGCTTTCTGTTCCTAAGAGAACACAAAAGGAGGGGATAGCTCCCTGTTTCGAAGTCCCCTCCCCACCAAAAAAATAGAATAAAGGACAAAGAGCCTTAAAAGTCAGAAAGAACAAACTACGACAAAATGGTTAGAGTAAGTCCATGGAGTGGATGGGGACTATGGAATCACCCAAGTATTTTGTTTTCTGGAAAAGAAACACTTTACTTTTCAAAACTTTCTATCTAACTTTCAATACTATGCTAATTACAAGGCCAAAGACATTTAACTCTCAAGAAGTAACTTGAAATTAAATCTGTAAAAACTTCAGCTCCATGATGATGTCTATTCAGTCAGACTCTTTGTGTTTTAGCTGCTCATATTCCTTTATTTACTATTTCTGGTGCTCTTTGCTCTTATAGATCAAAGTTGTTCTTTGACCTGAAAGACATCTGTGTAGCTAAGATGGAAATAAACTTTATCAGTTTTCAGTCTTTAACAAATGTCTTTCCTTAACTCTTGTTTGTAAAGGCTATTTTTGCTGGATATAAAATTCTAGTTTTTTTTTTTTCTTAAACTATAATTTGCTAGAGGCTCCATGTATTCACTGGAGACAAACAGTAAGAAAGCACCCCCCCATTTCATGCTGAAATCCCGTCCCCTCCATTTCTCTCCCTCCATCTGGAATTTTGGACATGCACTCAGCATGGTTTCCAATCTAACAGATTCAAGAATCAAACTGCACAGTTGGCCATGCGGGATGCAGCTGTCTTAACCACTGTACCACAGGCTGGTCCCTAAAACAGTTTTTAACTGACAGAATAATTGTACATATTTGAGGAGTACATTGTGATTTCTTTCAATGCATGAATATAATGTGCTATGATCAAGCCAAAATAATTTGTGCATCACCTCAAACATTTGTCATCCTCTGGAAATCACGTGAGTCTTTAAAACCATCCAGAGTTTCCAGCCATCAGGATGCCTGGCTGAGAGTACTGCCTCAAAGCAAGATAGACAAGATGACTTCAGGTCTCTTCCTATCATCAGGAATCCAGTAATAAGTACATTCTGCAAACTCCTGGGGACCACCAAGAAGTCAGCTGCCAGCCAACTGGGTAGAGTTGCCACCTCCTTGGTGTGAGGAATCCATGTGAAATCATGCAGTTCAAACACAGCCATCTACACCACAGTCTTACATCTTCTGAAGGGCCCATAATTGGGGGGAGGGGAGGGCTCACAAAAAAAAAAAAAAAAAAAAAAAAAAAAAAGGCCAAAAAAACCAAAAAA